AAAACTCTGAAGGGTGGGATGTCTTAGGTCTCAGACTCTGTGGGCTGCGACAGTAAACTCTTGAAGAAGCGGAAGAGAACCTGAAGGGATGCATTTTGGGCACCACAGCTGTCGTGAAGCTAGACATGCTAAATGCACTCAATGCTGGCAAGTCTTTGATGTCTTTGGGATGTTGTGCAGACAATGAAATGAAGCTCCAGGATCGGAACATATCGGAACCGACTAGCAACTAATGGCACCAAGAGCAACACTGCCACTTTGGTCCGGGCATGTGGCGTGATCAAGCGAGTGGATGCCTGTGTCTCCTGTCAGCAATGACTGTTGCTGTACAAATCTTGTCCTGTTTCCGAAGTTAACGCTGGATCCATGGTTTGATTACCAAGGAGATATGACCAGTGGCCAGTACTGCTAATGCTATCGTGCTGCAATGCCCAAGACATTTTGTATTTGCCAAATGATTTCATGTTTGCTTCCCCGTGATCATTGATGACCTCCATAGTGGACCTTGACCGACTTCCTTTGTTTGCTGACAATGGGATAAGAAATGCATTTGTCAAGTGACAAATTCTACATAATCCGTAAACCAGGTGTATCGTTCTGGGGTATTTGCGGCTCTCCGCACGTCAAGAAGTATCAAGACACTACATATGTACCCAGCAAGAAAATCGACCCATCATGATCTGTATCATTGATATCCGTTCCCCAAAACACCAACAACTTTGCAACATCAAACCCCACTGGCCCCACCTGTAACTTCAGCTGCAGCGCGTGCAGGAATCTGACCTGACATTGCATATTTCCTCAACCCGCAGTGACAAAGGTTATTGAAACAGTTATTCTGTAAGCAACTGTTATTGAACACGATTGCATCCTGTGCCAAAGCTGAAGCTCAGCATCAGTTCTCAAAGCTCAGTGGAGCGGTGCGACAATTCACCGTGCTTTGCCATAATTTGCCACAGACCCTTCATTTGACCATCTTTTTCATCGCGTGACTTGCATGGAAACATTCTTGTGTCTTTGCCAAAGGCTGATTCATCACTGCTCGTGCACCAGACACCCTGATGGGGCTAGGGAGCCCTGCATACAGCATCTTGCTGCTGGTGACACTCGGAGAGATGTCCTGAAATCTGAATGCTGGAATGGCGAGAGCGAGCACATCTTCAATTCCACTTAGGCCACTCAATCTTCACATCCTGTTGATCCAGATTCGCATCTTTTTGAAGATATCCAAACCCTGCCTGAAGGGTTTGCAAACATCTCTTGTACCCCAACATAGGCCCCACCTCACCCCAACTGAACCCTGACGTCCAATCCTTGACGAAAATGAAGTGCGACATGTTGTCTCCGACCTGGTGAGAGCATCATTGATGCACCGTTTGGATCCGTTTGGTTTCATTCCAAAAGGCTGCGCACATCTGTTCACCAAATCTAAACACTGCGCGCATACTTTTGAGGGCTGGTGTAGTACAGTATGTGCAGTTTTGGTAACACATTATTGGAGCAGCACAGAAGCAGAAAATAGCTAGCAATCCGAGGGTAGCGCAATCTTCAGAATGTCAGACTCCTTCAGTTGAGAACACATCCCCATCTGCCATGTCAAGCTCTCACAACGGCCATCAACAAAGACATGGTTATGAGTTATGACAGTTATGTTATGATATAATTTGATGATTTCGCTTACTCAAACTCAATACTGTCCTGCAATGGTTCCAAGTTGTACATCCAGGTGTGTCGCAAGAAGTTATGCCTCAGCACAAACATCAAAGTCGAAGCGACGAAGCGACTTTGGTGCTATGAGTGGTCCAGTCACCCACTTCAGCTGATGATGCATGGAATATCACCGTTTTTTCAATTTCACCATGACAGTTTCAAGTTCCAGCATCCAGATGTTTCTGAAGACTCTTGCAACTGAACAACACCCATAAATCAATCATAAATCCACCAGCGGACCCACCTTGATGCCATGTCGGAAAGAGATCGCGCAGCAAGCACCATCATCACGCCCTGGGTGTTTTGGGGCAGAAATGGATCCGTGTTTTGTTCCCATTGTTGGATTCCCAGGGCCTCCAGGTGTTGCAGGCTGGGCAGTGTGGCTTCACGCTCCAAACGCTCTGCAGGGCCACGCTTGCCTGGAGATTGGGATGGGATGGGTGGGACTGGTGGGATTCGAAACCGGAAACAGGGGGAGTGCAAGTGACTTTGGTGTCTCAGGTTTGTGTCGGTACTTTGGATCAAACACACGACTTAGCAAAGAGGCTGTAAAACATGAATCACAGAATGAGCAGGAAGTGTGTGATAAGTTGAATGAAGGTTTGGCAAAAACAGCTAATCAGTGCTGCTTGGTTTTCAAGAGGCGCCTGCAAAGCCTTTTCGAATGCTTTGGTTAATACCAGCAGACCCCGGGAAATGCACCAATTTGCCTCGCATGCGAAGCAACCAGGATGCTCGCCACTATCACTGTCAACCAGGATGATATGCCATGACATGCCGCAATTTTTCTGCTACTATTTCCCACTATTTCCATATCTATTTCCCATTTAACCCAGCTTAGATCTGATCTCTGGGATTTCCAACGTTCCAGGTTGAAACGCCAGGCTTCCCGAAGGCTTTCATTTGCCTGCGTGGCAGAGTAACAAAATGGCCGGAGGCATTTTCCTGGATGCTGTGTTTGGCGTTCCAGGAGGTAATGGCATGCAGGACCCCGATTGATTTTCACTGACCGCAAAATCAAGATATGAACAGCCCACAAATCAGCTGAAGACTTGGCCCTTTCTTTGGAGAGATGCAAAGCTCAGGCTCGAACACAATGACAGTCATCAATGACCTCAAGGAGGTGAATGGTGAATCGAGTCTCTGCTGCGACGTTGAGCAGCTGTCGCATGTTCATCTGGGTGCAGGACGAACACGCACCAGGAGTAAAGTCGAGGCCTGCGAACATGGAGTTG